TAAAGAACATTTTGCAGCACTGTAGCTTTTTCATCCAGGAACTCGGAGTCTGAAGAAAACAATGGTCTTACGGTCAAGCACAGAACTAGAGGCAGGAGAATCCTGAATTTAACACTTACATCAAAACTTACCTTCACCTTTCCTGCATCTCAATTACCTCTCCCGATCAGTAAATTGAAATATTTTCTATCTCATAGGTATTGTAAAGCTTAATTTATTAGTGCCTGCAAACCATGCTGAAGTCCTTGGAAACAGATTGCCACAGGTGTCAAGTACTATACTGTCACTCAAGTACCAAACAGACCCGACCCTGCTTAGCTAAGGTATCTGACAAGAACAATTTTCAAGGTGCATGACTCTAAATAGCAGCATTTTACATAGCTACAATATGCTCAAAACAAAAATTTTGCTAAGAAAGAGTATGAATAACAGAAGTTTATTTGTCTAAACTCTCTCCAAAAGCCTCTTTAGCACTACAAAGGTTATTTCTCCTCCTCCTCCCTAATAAAACATCTTGGAAGAAACTGAATACACTGTACTTGAGATATGCAGACAATTTTGCATCAATAGTGCCATTAGTGGTGTTGTCCTTACAAATGCTGTCTGCAATGGTTGCTACTCTAGCTACACTTGAACTTTTAGAATAGACATGAATAGCCACTTCTCAATTTGTGCTGGCTTCCATTCTCAACAAAACTCTGAAATTAATATAAACCAAATTTATCTTGAAGGAACTATTTCTGCTGTGCAGCAAGTCACAATGGTGAGTTTCTTCCTGATCCCGCTCTTTTTGTTTTCTGGAAATTGTCATTTTTATGGTGGTTTATCTCAGTAGGACCTATTTTCATTTTCAGCATAGAGAAGGCATGCTGGTAACCTGTGCTCCTCTTCATGAATAGGAAGTCCCAGTAAGATCTGAAATCTAAGTGTTGTTAATACTGTCCATCAGTCATAGCAAGACCTTTATGTCTGCCTGCAAAAAGAGAAATAACAACAAAAAAAAACAAAACATGTTTTTTCCCAAGGAGGGAGAGGGGAAACAATTTGACACTTTCTTAAGACTTCTGAATACTGTTGAACTGTTTTGCAGAAGGAAACACCAAAAAAGTATCCAAAGTAATATCAATGGGAGTAAATAAAAGAATCATTGAATGTCCAATTTATGCAAGAAGTCTTTCTTTTCCATAGTCTACTTGAATATCATCATAATCTCCATTCCTGAAGATTAAGACAGTTGACAAATGATGCTACTTATGGGGGAAGGGGACTTAGGTTGCGCTCCATAGGAGATAAGAAAGCTTATTTTTAGACAAACTGGATAAACGCATGTTGCTAGACCACAGTTTATTAGAATATTTTTTTACAATAGCATCACGGTGGGCAAACTGAATATCTTGTTTTGACCAAGATGACTTCTTTTAAAATTCCAAAATATAGCTTGCTCAGAGGTAGGAAAAGGTGGAATCACTCTGTTGCTAACTGATTTTAAAGAGTCTTATCCGCAACCAATTTTCTTCCTTCCTACAATACTTAAGGTTCTCCTCAGATTTGTGAGCATCACTCAGATAATTCTTGCAATAACAAGTGAGCTCACATAGCAAGCTTTGTAAAATGTCACATCATCTATCACTCCCAATCACCTCACCTCTAAACCACCATTAAGTATCCATGCACATGAGCAAAACACTTAACTCAAGGACTTTCTTTTCTTCAGCTTACTCCCACAGAGGGAGGGTATAAGCTGCACAAGTCTTCTAACACAATAATAATTGTGGTCTAATGCAGTAATAATTGTAGGAAGCTTCCCAAAAGCCTTTATGTTCTTGCTAATAACAAAAAGGGCCCATGGATTCCATACAAATTAATGAAACCCTTAAGCACAAATTGAAAAAAAATCAAAGAAGGCAACAGGGTTTAATCTGTCTGCACATGGATAATCCTAAAACAAGGAAGGCAAAGGGTGAGCAAGAGGAAGTGAAGAAAAACACAACCACTGAAAGAAACTAACTTAGCCCAGTGTTCCTCACGTGATGGGCCAGCCCAGTTTAAGAAACTGCAGATTTTTTTTTTTATTTGTGACTTGTAGGTTCGTATTTAAAATAATATTATGCTTATGTAAAGGTAAAATTCTGTAGGGCCTCCCAATCAAGGTAATATTTCAGTTGCTGGCCACCCCTGAACGTCCCTGCCGGTAACAAATCTGTCACTGACACAGCATACCTTCTCTTCCGTGAAGAGCCACGAAGGAAGGCAACTGTGGCCGCTGCCACCAGACAGCTTTAGAGTCAAGGGCCCATGCAGGGGGTGCAGACCTCAAGGGCGAAACTGAGAGAGCTCTTACACGCCTGCCCCCAACCTCTCCCTCCCCCCCCCCCACCTCAGCCTTCGCCCCACGGCCTGGCGGGGGGGGGGG